ACACATCTAGATGTGTATAAGAGACAGCTGCAACATTCTTCAAAAAAAAAAAAAAAAAAAAAAAAAAAGCTCCATTTGGTCTTTTACAAGGCCCTGTGCGTCCCCCTTCGACAAGTTTGGGGGCCCGCACAGCCCTGGTTCGACGCCTTTCGTCTTCCACCGAATGTAACACATATGCGTTCTATTCGAGGCTTCAAAACAAATCCATGGTTCGGATAGAACGCATATGCCTTGTATTCAAATTTAAGGGCAGATCAGATATTAATTAAACTGATCAGAACAGATACTACACTTGATCTTTCGAAAATAAGCCGAATTGTCACATCACGAAATCAGTTCAGGCACACATACGGAGAGCACACATGCCGCGTAAAAGCTACAAAGAGGTATGAGGTGAAATCACAACCCTTCTCTCCTTACCTCTTCATAGGTGTACTCCCGATCGGAGCCTTCCCAAGGCAGGCGGGTGGAAGGCATGTCCTCGTCACTCTCTTCATCATCCTCATCTGCAAAATAAAACCAGTATGCAATACCATACTACACGTAAGATAAATACATTGGATACCAACTTCTTCATGCCGAACAAGGCCATTTGCTGTGTATAGATATGAAACTGGGATTTCTTTTTTTTGCAGACAACAGTGTTTTGTCCTGGGTGGTCTTGTCCCGTCGTAATTTGGCCTTTGTAGGTGGGGCGGTGTTTGCATGTGGGACTTGCCATCTAGGATCCGGTTTGTGCTGTTGCTTATGGCCCCCTGTTTTGTTGTATCTGGTTGTTCCCTTCCTCTTTTCTTTGCCTCTTTGCCCTTTGGCTGTGTGCAAGTGGGTCGATATGACAAACGGGGGTGGGGGCAGCCGCCGCCGCTCAACCTACATCCACGTGGGTGGCCTTGTACGCAAGAGGTCCTGAACAGGGAGTCACAAGGAAGAAGATAAAAAATTGAATTCACTTTTTCCTGTTTTTCTTTCTTTCTTTCTTTCTTTTCTTTTTTTCGTTTTTGCGCTCTGATATTATTGTGACAATATATACTTTCATTCAGTTGCATTACCATCCGTTCTCACAAAGCTCGAATTAGGTCCTCATCCTTTTCATCGGAGTTTCACCGACTCATCAGGAGGCTGAACCCTATATATCACCATAGAGAACTACCCAGTGAGCTGTAGGCAGAAAGAACAGAACACGAAACAAGGGACTGGCAGATTGAGGTGAGGTGACTACCTCCATCTACCCGGTCATTATGGCTGTATCCGGACTGAAACTTGAACCAAATACAGCCATAACGACCGGGCGTGTTCAATTTGGGTGCAGACGGTAGTCAGGAGGCTGAACCCTCTACAATCTGCAGTCCCCTAACTGATGATACTGTACGTCATTATCCACCTTAACGAGGCTGAACCCTCTACAATCTGCAGTCCCCTAACTGATGATACTGTATGTCATTATCCACCGTAACCCCGGCTTGGGTTCAACATCAACGACTGCCGCACAATGGATATCCGAAGGTGGGCAAGAACCACTGCCCTCAAGAAACATACATATATTGTCATAGAGAACTGCCCAGTGAACCCTAAGCAGGGAAGGAGGAGGAGGAGGAGAGGACAACAAACGAGGGACTGACAAATTGTTGTGACGGAGTTTGACCAGCTCATATTTAGTACACATGAAACCTATATCCGGTGACGATATTTAGTACCTTCTAAACATATCGAGTACCTTATATACATACATAGTACCTACCTTATATAAGCACTAGCTTATATACATATACAGTACATAAGTCGTACAATATATATTGTCACACTGTCAATCGGAGCGCAAAGGCGGAAAAAAGCAAAACAAGGAAAGGAAAAGAAGAAAGGAAGGAAGGAAGGAAAGCCCCACCTGTTCATCACCTCTGACGTACAAGGCCAGCCACGTGGATGACAGGTTGAGCGCTGGCTGCCCCCATCCCCGTGTGTCACAAGGACCCACTTGCACGCAGCCAAAAGGCAAAGAGGTAAAGAAAAGGAGGAGGAAACTAAACCTCACAGAGGCAAGAAAAAGAGAAAGGGATCCAGTGAAAGAAAGGACAAGGGAAGAGGAAGGCAGGCATATTAGCCAAGCAAAGCAATTGACACATCCCTCAGATAAACCAATTGCCACTGTCACAACAAAGTTCAACATATGTTATATTTTTCCTTTTTTTTTCTTTTCTTTTTTTCTTTTCTTTTCTTCTGAATTTTTTTCTTTTTTTCTCTTTCTCTGAATTTTTTTCTTTTTTTCTTTTTTTCTTTTCATTTTTCCAAGTATCGAAAGCTTTATATGTCCTATAATCAGTGTTGCTCCCGACCTGCTTGATTCTATTGAGACCAGTTAGGAAGCGGACCCCCACCCCGGCAGATAGGACAGGCACGCTAAGGGTGGCGTGGATGTTCACAAGGATACCCAAGGAGAGCTGCGCCAGCACAGCATTCAGCAGGACGGCTAGCACGGACCAT